TCTGCTTCTGATTATTAATCCTACCCAAGAAAGAACTGTAAATGAATGCTGGCTTTTTCTATGTGATGTTATCAGTAAGGGGAAAGAAATCTGATTTCACATAAAGGCAATGCTTCCTAGATTGATTAGGTTCAACATGTGACCTGTCATAACTATAATAGACATTATCTGAAGCAATTGTTTTGTTGTTTTTATTTTGAATCAGTTGAACACATTTAATTCATTTGCACTGATCCAAAATCTAATCAAAGCATATGTGAAGAAGAGCCTTTAATTACTGACAAATGTTTGAAAGTCATCTCCTTCTTTAAATACCCCTGCTTTTATCTAACCCTATTAAAAGGACTCAATAATTCCAATGATATGTTATAGAAAACAGAGTCTGATCTTTTCAGAACTTTTATATATACAATCTTGAAAGTCTCACTAGCTTTGTTGAGATTTAGATAAACACAGTGAATTCAGAATGGAAACTAATACATGAAGAAACACAAAAGCAATTCTGTCTCAGAATTTCATATTCAACACACTGGAAAACCTGAAGCTAAGTCTGCCACCAAGAGGAATAAAACAGAATTATTTTTACATTGCTTACTGGAGGGTCCAAACATTAGAAATACTGATTTAACTTATTTTTATGTTGCTTATGGGTTATGCATGATTTAAGATATAATAAAACAGTTTGCCAGCATGGCATTATGTACCTTGCCTGCTTATAATGTACACAACTTTATGTGGAAATATGAGCTATGTGAATAGCTTAACTTAGATATTCCTTTTAGTATTAACTTTTATAACTGCATGCAGTCAGTAAAACTAAATAAGAAGTAGATACGCTAACTGAATTGATTTTTTTCTATTTAGGTAGATTTTCAAAATGGAAGATTCTGATAGTTGTCCACCTACACTATCTTTAATATCGTCATCAGCGGCTACCATTTCAGAGTTATATGATAATAGTGTTTCAACCACATCATATAAGTAAAAAACCCAAGTGTACCATGTATAGCAAGCAAACTGACCAAAAAAAACAAAAAACAAAGAAAGACTATCACACAGAACTAGACACTGATATCTCTGTAATAGAAACCAGTTAGACTATATAGAAGAAGAAACTGATGAAAAAACGTTTGGTTTATGTAACTTTCTGCATGGTTAGAAGATGCATTTCATGAACACTGTTCAATCACTTACCCAGGATTAGGTCTACCTAACAGAACAGTTACTGCAAGGAAAACTGCAGAGACAGTGTATGTGTTAACATGTTGGGCTAGAATTGTGAAAAGCCATGTTCAGTTCCACCCTCAGCCACAGAAGCCCACTGAGTGATTTGGAAGAGTCACCTTCTTGCAGCCCAACCTATCTCATAGAAGTGTTGTAGAAAACTTGGAGGAAGAAGTGCAGTGTATGCCACCTTGAGCACCTGCAGGAAAGGCAGGATATAAATCTAACGAAGTGCTGGATATGGCATATAAAGAAGAAAGTGAGAAATGTACAAATAATTTAGAGAGGAAAATTGTTATCCTGAATCTTGATGGACAGAATGATATTCAAGTTCCATATATGTTCTTATATAAAAGATAGGAGTACCTTTCTTACTGAAACAATTGATACATAATAATGGATTCCTAAATAATTCCAAGTAACAGCAGTAAAAGTTGTAATAAGCTACCAAGAAATTTCAAATGTCTACTATGCAGCTTTGTCATGGACAGTGCTACAAATGTATACTACAAATCAGTGTAAATTTAGAAGACAGTTAAGACTCCCCCAAACAGCATAGGGTTGTAGTCTCATTTAACATTCCACTTATCAAAAAACTTTGGTACTCAAGAAACAAAGCTTGCAGAATACTTTCACAAAACCCCTTTGCAGCAGCTGCACCAAAGAAAGCAAGTGGAACCAGATTACTGTTCTCCAAGAGGTCCAGTGAAATACATTAGCAGACAGTTTGGAGCACTGTTATCAAGAACAGGTCTATTCTTATGGCATTCTGTTCACAAAATTGTGAAGAAATAGATGGGCAGAGGAAACAGAGAGCCAGTCTGGTGTAGTGGTGAAGGTGCCGGCCTAGAAACCAGGAGAATGTGAATTCTAGGCCTCCCTTAGGCATGAAAGCTGGCTGGGTGACTTTGGGCCAGTCACTCTCTCTCAGCCCAACCCAATCCAACCCACCTCACAGGGTGGTTGTTGTGGGGGGAAAACGTAGGAGGCAGGAGAATTAGGTATGTTTGCTGCCTTGAATTATATATTAAAAAGGTAGGATAAAAATCTAATCATCATCATCATCATCATCTGTCAGGGCAAAAATTGTCAATATGGGTCTAAAGAGAAACACTGAACATTTGATGATTATTCAGGACTATGATGGGTCTGAACAACTGCAGTGAAATAACTATTTTATTTCTGATGCTATTGCAGTATGTGAGGAACTAGGAAATAAGCAATGATAGCAGCATCAAATTATAGGGGGGGAAACCTGAATGGCACAAGCACTACTTCTAGCTTATTTTCTTGTCAGTATTCTCGTTACTTAGTGGGTTCAAACTTTAACTACTGATGATGATAAGTTAGCCATGGCAAAGACATCAAGTTAACTACCCTCCCATAATGCCAACTATGATAAATTTTGGGCTAAAGGTGATCGATTCCATATATGCATGTTTGGTGATGAGATTCTCAACAAAGGAAGCTGAAGTAAGAAATTTAAACATTTGGATTCAGAGACCAGTGAAAGAGTAATCCAAACTGTAATAGCAGTAATTAGTTTGCTGGTTTACAAAGCGTGTTCACTTCCTCGGGAATAATTCACTGAAAATGCAAAGCAATTTGGGAACTGAAAAAGCAAGACAATTTGTCTTTCTTTTTCTAGACTCTGAAGAAAAAGGCACAGATGAATGCTTTATTCACCATTCACCAAAGTTTTGAATGTCTTGTGCTGACTTGGTTAAAATTGCCTATTCTTTATTTTTAACAAAACATAGTTTAAATCAGAACTACATGTTTTAAGTAATAATCTATTTTTTATTGTTTGCTGAAGAAAGTTAGTCAGAACAAGTGCAATTTAAAAGCAGCTGGTGGTTATGTTACTATAGCATGGCAAATGTATCCTTCAAATACTTGCAAATAATTGAATTGGAGCTGGTTCATCTCCTAATGACTTCCCAAGTACATATCTGTTAATTTGCTACTAATTTACTACTAAAAAATTTCATTTTTAATAAACATGGATTTTTAAATATCTGAAAAAAATTGTTTTAAAATGTAAGTACATTCTAAAATTTATATGTACACCCCTGAATAAAGAATTTATTCATGCTATATCAAACAAGCACTTTTACTAGAAATGATTATTACCAAATATTAATATTAATACAGAATATTCCTGGTAAGTGAAATGAACTGACTCTCCCTGACTAGTGAATTAAATTATGAATTAAATCAATATGATTTAAATCAAATCCATCCTACTTATAATTATTCAGATCTCCAGGATCCACTTTCTTCTAGGAATGCTCTCAGTATGGTCCCGTCTAATGAGGCTAAGATCATTCTTTGTAAAACCAAATTTATAACTCCCAGATCTGGTTGAGCATTCCATTCTTACTAAAGAATATATTAGATATAATACACCAAGGAGAATTACCTAAATTAACAACCATTGGTTCTGATTCCAGCTTCTCTACTTCTCCTTCCCTCTCATTTCCAAGGGAACTACAATACTTTACTTAGAACAAATCCATACAACCCACTTGCTCTGATGCAAGGATGGCCCAGTAACCATTTCCCAAGGACATGTCCACATGCCTCTAGCTGTAACTTGGAGGTCTTCTGCAGGAGAACTAAAGGTGCTACAATCTGGAAATGGTATTTTCCTAACATCCTTCCTCAAGATGTGTGCAAGTGATATAGTGTGTGTTGATGCACATTGGGGGAGGCAGCCTGAAATGATGTGCTTTGTGCTGGCAATCTGATGGTTCCAACTGATTCTGCCAGTTTCCTCGGTGACCATCCCCTTCCCTTACCTCTTCATTCCCTGACCTCTTCCCTTGCCCTCTTTTGGATGCAAGGAAGACTGTAATTCTGGTTTCTGAATAAATTTTGTTGTTGTTGCTGTTGAAATGGATTGATCAACTGGCTAACAGAAAGTGTAAAGCCTTGAAACTGACCATCCTGTACCTGTAATTGGAAGTGTAACAAAAAAGCACTACGACTCATTGCGGTGGTCCCAGGAAGAAACCCTGGAAGAACTCTCCCCCAAATTACAATTGGTTCTCATGAACAGAGATACCTGGCTATATAACATCTCTGAATAAGGCAGAATTTCTAAATAAGCCATAAGGGGCAAAGAATAACTGGACAGGTCTTTTGTTGAACAGTATCAAGTATCTAGTTCACATCTTCAGGCCTTAAAACCTGCAAGTCATCCAGAAGAATCCAATCAGATGCTTTAGACACTTCTACAGTCTAAGACAGGCTTTCTCAAAGTTTGCAGTACTGTAAACCCCCTAAAACGATAAACCCCCTCATAAATAAGACCAAATAATTAATATATAATACATTAATAAAACTTCTGTGATTGGTAGATAGTTTTCACAAAACCCATGTGTTTCGCCATCTCATAAAACTAGCTATAGGCTTTGTGTTTTTGCTTTGCCTGTGCAAACCTACTGCGGGCTTCTCCAGGCAAAGTGGGATTGTGGAAACAATGGAAAAACACATGAAAGCCATTTACAATGGGGACATCTAGAACAACCAGTTTTTCTAACTGGTTGAAATGAAGTGAAACTGGTTTGATATTGAAATCCCTTCTGTTAAAGGCAGTATCCTATGTTGGAAGAAAAGGTATTAATTTTTTCTCCATTCATTCTTCCCCTTAGTCTCATCTTCAATTCACTCCAGAGTTCCCTTCCTTTTACAGAAATTCTTATGATCCAAATTTTGCAAAGTATATTAATTAGTGCAATCCAGTTTTAAAATTAGAACGATCTCATTTATACCTGATCTTTATTAGTTAAGCCAATGTGCATGACAAGATAAAAATGCACCAGGTAGTCAGGATTTGGCATAAAATCTTGGCGCCTTGTCATCATAGCACATATCAGTTTGTAGGCATGGATCTTTCCTTCTTTATATTCATCTGGTAAAGTTGTAGCCTAAAAAAAAAATTTTGTTAAATAATTTGTGAACTCTGAAATAATCAGGACATTATATATTAAAATATGTAAACATCCTCATCAGGGTGGTTTTGATTCTATTTCCGAAGTTAGTCAGAAACATTTTGTTAAACATTGATAAGGGAAAAAAAAGAATTATACTTAAATTGTCAATCCACAAATGGACACATTTTTAAATCTACTGCAAGCCTCCAGTAATGCAAAGTATGGATACAAGCTTTATGTATTCCTTCTCAACAAGCAGCTTTCAGCAAATCTGTTCAAGGCTCCATAATTCCTACTTACCCATGGCCCACTACCATTCATACAGGGCAATGGCAAGTCATTGACTTGCCGGGGTTAGCCTCTGAGGTCACACCCCACAAAACATGCTACACTATTTGCATACAGATGATTATGGATAGCCAACCTTAGGCTAAAACATAGTGAAAAGAATGTTGACAGCCGTCTTTTTAAAATATTTACTATGGGGAAAGTAGGATTTGTGGTTTATATTGCACATATATGCTGGGTTCTACAGTATTCTTTCTTTTGCACAAAGGTAGACATTAGGTAAAATACAAAGTTACATGTACATAATATGCTATACTTACTACGGAGGCTTTGTTGACTTTTGGTTTGAGTGCAGGGTACACTCTTCATGCTACAGTGGTTAGTAGTATGTTTTCATTGAAGCTAATATGACTAATGAAATAGTTTAACCTTTTTTTTATACCTAATATAAATAGGTTGGTTTTTGGATTTGTGCTTGTTAAGTAGACCACAATTTGTTTAAAAAAAGGTATATTACAACTGCTGCTTCCATTGTGTGTTAAGGGAATTTTTAAAATATTTTTCAGGTTTTTTAAAAAAATATCCCCTTCACTATTTTTTCTCTAGGTTGGATGGTAGGTAGCAGTCAGCATACAATATCATCCCAACTATTTTTGTGGCCCTAAAGTGAAACAAGAACACAACAGTTCTTGTTTCAAGTTCGCATTATTTCATGTGGCTAGAAGATTCAGAAAGTTTTCAGGATTTTTCTATGTGGAACATGGATCACTCATTGTATCAGAGTTTTATCTTTTTAGGACATAGCAAACTTAGAACATGCTGAGTAAGGCTACTTTATCCCAAGTTTGAAACAAAAACTGATTTTCTGTGTCATGCACAACCCTTGTGGAATATTCAAAATGTTTCTAGTTTTGGAACACAGGATACTAAAAACTTTCTGAGGGAACATTCCAAGTAGGACATCTTGCTCTGTAATAATTCTTTTCCCCTGTTCCATGTCCATCCTTAAACTGTTTGTAATTAGTGCAAGGCAAGGTGAACAACTTACCTTGAACAACCATGATGCAAATATTCTAAGTGGTGGAATTAAAATAGGAGGGGAGGGAGTAGACTGGTTATCCAGACTGATTGCCAGATTGTCTCGTATCTAAAACAAATAAACCAGAAACAATTTTTAAGTCTTTCAAATTTCATCAGCCATATAAAGTTAGTTGCATTCTTCTTCTTAAACATTTATGCATAAAATTTTGGGTCTCAAAGTTATTTTCTAGCTGCTTTGAATAAATTTAGCAGATGAGCCTGAAACATGAGATGGTCCATACAAGTCCCTTCTTTCCTTCATCTCAGAGGAAGTCAATGGAATACTAAATACATGTTTCTCCTATTGCTTTTTTCCACCACTATTCTGTTTTGAAACTGGTCCTGAGACTGGAGTAGCTGTTTCCAAACTTCTCCATTTCCTGTGGAACAAGACCCATTAGCTTACCACAAATAAATACATATTAAAACTGTCCTAAATAGTGTGTTAGTGGACAGAGGTCCAAAAAGTTTGACTTAGGGATCACACGTAGCTTGTTAGCATCTGTTTTTAGATCTAAAAGCCCTCCCTCAGCATGTGTGGGGCAAAAAATGGGGGTACTTTTGTGCATTTTGGGTGGCTTAATGCAGGCAGTTAAATCATTCGACTTCTTGAAAATTTCCAAATTTGTGCCCAGTTTGGGAGTATGGCCTTCATCATGCCATGAAAATTAAGTTGCAGTCATCAACAAAGGAAACTTCACATCAAAAACACACTGATACATGCAACATTTTGAAATCTTTTGGGACTCCTATAAAATATTGGATGTGGTTCTCAAAGCTCCCTTAAAGTTGCATTAAGTAGCAAATGTTTATTTAAGTAGGAGAACATTATGAAGTCTATGAGTAGTCATAACAGTAACTCGGAGCCATCATTATGCCCCAAATGTTGCATATCTGCTATAATCTATTAATTTCAACGTATCACTTTTATATCATTATTTCTATCACTAAATTATTAATGTGTTAATGAATTTTTCAGGGATTATAAATTAGGGAGCACTTAAAACATTTATTTGGCACAAATATCACTCCAATAGAATTAATCTAGCCTAATCTTAATTGCTGAAGTCTTAATAAATTGGGTAATTAAGGCTATTTTAAAATATTTAATATTGTATAGTAACTGCATATACTATACAATATTTCTTGTTTTATTTATTTTAGCTGTTAACATCATAGTAAATTCATCATAGTATTCAACTTCACCTTTGCTAATTTGTACCATAACTCAAAGAGATATTCAACAACTCTGGCATGTATTTTAGGAGACTGGATACTGTTCACATCTCCAAGAATTCCTAATGTTCTTCTCCATAACACAGCTGCAGAGTCAGGATGCCATCCAGTAAGTTTTCCCCCAGCAATTATGCTACAATCATCAGCAAGGAACTCACTGCTGTCTAAAAGAAAGAACGGCTTGCATTAGTATTTTTACTGTATGTCCAAAAAAAGAAAAAAAAAGAAATTAAAATTTATTTATTTTTTAAAATGTACTCTAATTTTTGAAACACAAAGACAAAAGAAATAAAAAATTATGATAAAATGGACACAAAATTTTAAAGAAACAGTCACAATATGCTTTTGGGGACTTCCAGAGGAAGAAATGGAAGACGGAAGTGGAGCTGATGACTATGGTGAAGAATGAAGAGCCAGTGAGTAGACTGGCTCTTCAAACCTCTTCAGATAAGGAGAGGACAGGAGATTGCCCACAAATGCCCCAGACAGCTGCTCCTCGTGAGGAAACTGCAAGACAGTGGTTTCTGATGGATTTTTAGCACTGGGAGAGAAGGGAATAGCCATCTTGCTCAACCATGGTTGGTGCCTTTAAAAGGACACTAAGTTTGCATACTTCCTTTTCTAATCATATTTGGAAATTGCTTGTTAACAAATTTTCGGCTATTAGAGACTTAGGATCAACAAGTCTGAAAATACTGAGTGAATCTGCCTTCAATCTTTAACAAAAGAAAATGTTAACTACAAGCTTAAAAACTTTAAAAAAATTGAAATAAACAGCAAAAAGCTAATTAAGACTTTGATTTTAGAAAGTTATAAATGGATTAAGGGTCCAGATAAATTTGAAATAAGACTTTGGAATTAATTATAAAGAATCCTCCCCGTGGGAAAGTAGACTTGTTCTGAATTTTTTCTAAGACATAATAGAGATAAGCTATTTTAAAAATTGGACACTACAGGGAACTAAAAATTTTAATTAAAGGAGAAGAATACATAAATCTGATTAACAGCTACAAAATGATGCAAAATATTATTAACATTGGAAAGGACAATGAAGGACATGAAGGACACTTTTGAAAAATGGAACCAGAAGTTAATGTCAACAATGTCAATAGTGATGTTTGCTTCCATGGATAGACTGTGTCCAAAAGGTGTTATGGAAGAAATGCAGAAGAGGACAAGTTCTATCTGACAAGACAGAGACAGAGATGACACTGAAAGCGGATCTACAAATGACAAGCTACAAGAATGACATGGAAAAAGATGTTTTATTGGACATACAAAATAGACTGGTTCATGCTTTAAAAATCAACAGGGAATTACAAATAATAAACCAAGAGAGTGACCTGGATAATTCTTTTATATTGGATTTACAAAAGAGATTTGTGCTTTAAAAATCAACAGGGAATTACAAATAATAAACCAAGAGAGTGACCTGGATAATTCTTTTATATTGGATTTACAAAAGAGATTTGTTAAATCTTGGATGAAGCTTGTGAGAAGGGGCAAAAAAGAAATGAAAAGAAATAAACTTCTATAATATTACTCGAATGGACTAAAGATTAAGTTTGTCAGAAGTAAAAGGAAGGAATATAAAGTTGGTTTATTTGATCAAGGTTAAAATAGATACGTTGTCATTTTTGGCAATGCTTAATGGATTCTTGCTGACATCACGACTGAAATGATGATGCTTTGTGTATTTATTTACAGATAGATGGGATATGGAATGAAGAGATTATTGGTTA